TGCTGATGCTGGTAATGATGATGATGATGATGATGATGATGATGATGATGATGATGATGATGATGATGATGATGATGATGATGATGATGATGATGATGATGATGTTCATGATGGCGACGACGATCATGACCATGGCGATTATGCCGATGCTGTTGCTGATGCGAATACTGCTGACAATGATGATGCTGATCATTATTATAATGATGATGCTGATGCTGATGCTGATTATGATGGTGGTGATGATGATGATGGTTGTGGTGGTGAAGAGACTGGTGCTGATGATGATGGTGATGGTGATGAAGCTGTTGTTGATGTTGTTTATTTTTGTTAAAGTCATTGTTGTTGATGGTGGTGAGTGATGATGGTGATGACGATGCTGATGACGATGATAATGATGACGATGATGATAGCGATGCTGTTGCTGATGAGGATGCTGCTGATGATGGTGATCCAGACGACGACGACGATGATACTGTTGTTGACGATGATGATGCTGATGATGATGATGATGATGATGATGATAGTGGTGATTTGGATGATGCTGCTGATGATTCTGATGGTGGTGGTGGTGGTTGTTTTGATGCTGCCGATGCTGATGTTACTGCTGCTGCTGATGATGATGACGCTGCTGATGATTATGCTGATGTTTATGCTTGGGCTGATGTTGATGATGATGATGATGATGATGATGCTGATGACGATGATGATGATGATGATGATGATGATGATGATGATGCTGATGATGATGATGATGATGATGATGATGATGATGACGATTATGATGCTGCTGCAGCTGATGATGACGATTATGATGCTGCTGCTGATGATGACGATGATGATGCTGATGCTGATGCTGATGATGCTGCTGATGAAGATAAGGATGATCTGGATGATACTGATGATGATGATGCTGATGATGCTGATTATGATGATGGTGCGGATTCGGATGCTGATGCTGTTGGCTATGATGATTTTGCTCATTATGATGAAGCTGCTGCTGTTGATGGTGATTTTGGCGTTGACTATGCTTATAGTGATGACGACGAGGATGACGATGATGCGGATGGACGGTGCTGCTGATACTCTAGACAATTCGCTGAGCCCCACCAGCCCATCCATATACGATGCTGAGACGAGTTGCCCTGATCAGGGATGTGGAGGAGCATGCAGTGGAAGAAGGGGCTGGGTAAGAAGTCATACCCCAAGAGGGGGAGGATGGAGGAGGAATCGGAGGTGGAGCAGAACAGGATGATGATGATGATGATGATGATGATGATGATGATGATGATGATGATGATGATGACGATTACGATGATGATGATGATGATGATGATGATGATGATGATGATGATGATGATGATGATGCTGATGCTGATGCTGATGATGATGATGATGCTGATGCTGATGCTGATGATGATGATGATGATGATGATGATGATGATGATGATGATGGTGATGATGGTGGTGGTGGTGGTGGTGGTGGCGGTGGATGATGATAAGGACGAGGAGGAGACGGAGGAGCAGGGCATGGGGGAGGGGGAGGAGGGAGGAGGAACACCTCACGCGCCAGATGCGCCACGTGCTTCACGTACGCCATGTGTGCCGCATGGTCCAGCCGCGCCAGGTGCGCCACGCCCAGGGCACGCGCAGAGTGTGCGAGGTGCGCCCGCGCACGTGACAGCACACATCGGGAATCATGTCGGCCCCCACCATCCGTTTCGAAATCTAGTGCACGCTCGCCGCGGGGACGCCATCATGGTGTCTGGTGGGCCCGTGCGCAGCAGGCAATATGCCATCACCCCCGCGGTCCTTGTCACATTCCGATCGACAGTGATTGCGGGTGGGCCGCGCATGATCCAGATCTAGCCGCAAAGTGCATTTTGTATTATTTTTGCCAGGGATTGTGGTATTGCGCAAAGCAGGCAATACGATGGCACCCCCGCCGTCCCAGTCAGAAAACAATGCAAAGTGCTCGCGGGGCCCACGACCATGACCGAATATTTTGCTTCAAAATGTGCTTCGTATTAATTTTTGGCAGGGGGTGGGGGAGGGGTGTTGGCGTTGGTCCTGGTTGGCTGCCGGTCGCCTTGGGGAGAGGGTTTATAGAGAGCAGTGATGAAGCCCTCCCCGAGGGGGAGCAGGGGGGTCGGAAGAGGACATTCTCTAAACCATCAGCGCCCTAAAGGGTTTCTGGGATCGAAGATGCTGCTGCCGCTGATGAGGAGCACGATGCTGGTAGCGATAATGATGATGCTCATGATGAATGACGATGAAGCTTATCATGATCCCGATGGTGATGGTTGTGAAGCTGATTACGATTGCGATGACCGACGGTGATGAAGACAACGACTATTCTGACGTTGATGTTGATGATGATGATGCTGATGATGATGATGATGATGATGCTGACGATGATGATCATCATGCTGATGATGATGCGGATGCTGCTGATGATGCTGCTGCTGATAATGACGATGATGATTACGATTCTGAGAGATGATGCTGATGCGAATGATGTTGATGTTGATGATTCTGACGACGATGACGATGCTGATTATGCTGCTGATGATGATGGAGATGATGGTGCTGTTGATGATGATCACAGTGTTGATGCTATTGCTGGTGCTGATGCTGCTGCTGATGATGATACTCATGATTCTTATGCTGATATGAGTGATGACGATGCTGCTGACGATGATGCTGACCATGATGATGATAATGCTGATGATGATGCTGATGCTAATGGTGAAAATGAGGATGCTGATGATGCTGATGATGACTATGATCATGATGATGTTGATGATGATGCTGATTATGATGATGATGCCTCTGATGATGCTGATGCTGATGTTGATGATGTTGCTGATGATGATGCTGATGCTGATGCTGATGCTGATGGTGATGCTGATGATGCTGATGATGATGGTTGTGGTGATGATGGTGGTGATGATGCTGATGATGATGATGATGATGATGATGATGATGAGGATGAGGATGATGATGATGATGATGATGATGATGATGATGATGATGATGATGATGATGATGCTGATGTTATTGATGGTGCTGGCGATGACGATGGTGATGATTCGGATCATGCTGATGCTGCATCGTTTGACCCGTACGCTTCTGTGAGTTTAGGTGGTATTGGTGCTGCTGCTAAGGACGGTGATACCGACTAGTGTGATGATGTTGACGGTGATGCCTATGTTGGCGATGATGATTGATTGTGCTGATGATGGGCTCGATGGCGATGATGGCGATAAGATGCAACCGTGTTCCAAGACGAATGTGTACCCTTTCACTCTGCCCGGTGCCTGTGGCGATTTGTGCTCGGGCGCTCGGCCGATTTTGAACAACGGTTGGGCGCAGATGCTGGCCCTTGGGCCGTGTCGAGCGGCGGCGGGTCAGCAAGGTACTGCGTGAGTGCAAATTATTCGGACCTCGCCTCGCGCTGCAGGCGGATGCGGCCGCGTTCTAGGGAACCTTCGTGCAGGCGGCAGGGGCCGCGGACCTCAGCGTGGAGGAGACGCGGCAGCCGCTGAGGGAGTTTGTGGACCAGGTACTGGCCCGGGAGCGAGCCATGCTCGAGGACGCCGCGGCGTACCTCGGGCCAGTGGATCGCCGTGGCGTGTCCGAGGCCCCGCCGCCGCGGGGGGCCCGTGCGATGGCGGAGGCCCACCTCGTTCGAAGTTGCCGCGCGGCCGCTGAGGAGAGCGTGGCTCGCGATACTCGTGCGCTTCATCGACTGCGTGCATGCCTTGGCGGCGGAGTCGTGTCGGCCGTCAGTGCGCAACCAGACCCTGCGTGCCATGGCGTGTACGGAGCAGGCGGCAAGGGTCGACCTGAACGGTCGGTAGTGGGGGAATGGGGGAGTAGGATAAGGTTTCTCTATGTTGTTTAACTTGATATACATCCATACGACAATTTTTAGCAATGGATCAACTACTCCCCTGGCGCGTATGTCGAGGTCTTGGAGCGGCTGGTCATGCGTCGTACTTGCGCAGGGTGGCGTGGCTCCTCCTGGCCAAAGTGTGGGCCGCGCAGCGCTATGACGACCGCAAGTGGCTTCCGCCGCAGCGCCTCGCCTTCGTCGACGGGGGGTTGATGGCCACGCTGGGGCGCGCGAAGATTAGTTGGGCAGGGCGCGAGATGCCAGAGCTGCCGCTCGTGGCATCCCGCGAGTGCTACATGCTGTACCCAGCGTGGTATCGGACGGAAGGCGATCGCGGACGTCGGGAGGGGCTGCTTCCCGCCGGGGTGCGACGACGCGGGGCAGGAGGTGCTCCGGAGGATGCTGGAGCTGGCTGCGTGCGTGGGCGATGATATCGAGCCCTTCATTTTCGAGGAGGTCGCGGGCTCCTCGGCGGATCATTCGGGCGGGCGACGATCCCCTCGGCCATGGCGTTGATGGGGATCTAGAAGAACGAGCGCGCCTGGGCTGGTGGTAGCTGGAGGGTGCGGGCGCTTGCGCGACGGGGCCAGGGGGGTGCGCCCCCCCTGCCGCCGTCAGCAGAACTGGGCCCGGCGGCCCCGGGTGGCCGCGCCCTCGCGTGAGGGCGTTGCATGAGGGCAGCCTGCGCTCTCCGCGGGGCGCAGCGGGGGGCCCTCCGCAGAGCGGGCGCTAGTTGGGCCCTTGCGACCAGTCGGGGCCGGGGCCGCGCCGGCGCGCCGTCGGGGGGACGGAGGCGACTCACTGAGGGGGTTGCCAGCGAGGGAGAGGCGCCGCGCGACACCCGAGGACGGGCGCCCGCCCGCAAAGCCATCCTGACGCCCGCGCGCGAAGCCCGAGAGCGAGATGAATCGCCATGCGCCTCAGCCATGGGCGACGCCGATGAGGAGAGTGTTGGGGCGAGAGCCAGGCGGCCCCCAGGACCCAGGGGGCGGGGCGTTGGGGGCAACTGCGTCTGAAGGTGCTCTAACTTTTGGCAGGGCACAAGCGGCGGGCAGATGTCGCCGGTTTCGCGCGCGGCCTCGGCATGTTTGCGCGTTTGGAGGAGGTGGACTTTTCCTGGTCGGGCGACGCCGACCTCTCCGATGCAGGGTTGCAGGGCGACTACCTCGAGAGGCTGGCAGCGGGCGCGTGGGGCGTGCGCGCGGCCTCGCCCCCCTGCAGCACCCTGTCGCGAGATGTGGACGAGCCGCCGGGGGCCCGCGTCCAGCGCGTTCGGAACAATGCCCTTGGCTTCCCCTGGTTGGGGGGCGAGAGGCGCTGAAGTGCCGGGCGTCCAAACAACTCGCCGACTTCGCCCTCCGCGCGCTGAAGACAGCTGGCGAGCAGCGGCGGGCGGCTCACATCTCGGAGCGACCGGTGGACTTCGGCGCCGCCCAGAGGGGCGACCTCTGCGGTCAGCGCCCCGCCAGCATGTGTCAGGAGGGAAAAAAACACAGACACAATTAATCGTCGATTCCCAGGAAAATATGGGAAAATATGGGAATTGGGGGGGAAAACAACAACCGAGGAAATATGGGAAAATATAGAGGTATATTTTTACTTGTGTGCATTTATTTGCGTGTCCTGGGGCCCGTTCAATGTGGCAGTTGTCGCTGATGGGCGAGCTCCTCGCCCTCGACGGTGCGCGCGCGCGGCAGCCCTCCGCCAGAGCAGCTTCGTCGCGCAGTGCCGGAATCCGGCGCGCCTCTCTTGTCCCTTTCCAGAGCTGGCCGCCGAACCGTGGTTCCACTGCGGGGGGCCGTCCAATTGGGGCTGGCCGCCGACGGCGCGCGCCGCGGGCCGCTGCCGTCATTGCCCTATTCGGGACGCCAGGAGGGGGATGACCGTCGGCGAAGACATAGAGGGGAACGAGGGGAGGGGAAACAGAGGGAGAAGGGAGGAGGTGGAAGGGAGAGAGGGAGGGGGGGAGGAAGGACATGAGGAGGGAGGTAGGAAAACATATGGACGAGGAGGGGGAGGATGAGGTGGATGAAGAGCAAATTAGACAAAGAGCGCATTCTGTGGGCGCTGGGAGGGGGGAGGGGTCGGAACCGGCCCCCTCCCTGGTTCAAGGGAACTGGGTGGTTCGACCCCCCCCGCTCCCCTTCCCCAGGTGTGCGCCACGGCGGGGGACATCGACGACGACGACGATTCCAAGGGGGAAAGGGGGTTCAGATCCCCCTCCCCTTCCTTTGGGCCGGCGCCGGCGCCGGCGCCAGCGCAGGCGCAGGCTGGCGTCAGCGTCGGCGGCGGCGGCGGCGCCGGCGACGACGGCGCTGACGACGACGACGAGCACGACGACGACGACGACGGCGAAGAGGACGAATACGACGACGACAGCGACAACGAAGATGACGACGGCGACGACCACGACGACAACTACGGCGGCGATGACGACGACAAGCGCGACGACCACGACGTCGACGACGACGACAGCGACGACGACGACGACGGCGACGACGACGACGGCGACGACGACGTTCAGGACGTCGAAGACGACGACGACGACTGCAAGGACGACGGCGGCGATGACGACGACGACGATTACGGCGAAGACGACAACGACGGCGTCGACGACCACAAACACGGCGGCGGCGACGACTCCGACGACGACGACGGCGGCGACGACGACGAAAACGACGATGACGAAGACGACGACGGCAAGCACGACGACCACGACGGCGACGACGACGATGCCGACGATAACGACAACAACGACGGCGACGACGACGGCGACGGCGACGACGACGACGACGGCCACGACGACGACGACGACGGCGACGTCGACGACGGCGACGACGGCGACGACGACGACGACGGCGACGACGACGACGACGGCGACGACGGCAGCGATGGCGTCGACGACGGCGACGACGGCGACGAAGACGACGACGACGTGGACGACGACGACGATGACGACGGCGACGACCGACGACCGACGACCGACGGCGACGACGACGACGACGGTGACGACGACGATAACGACGACGACAACGACGACGACGATGGCAACGGCGACGGCGACGACGACGACGGCGAACACGACGACGACGAGCACGACGACGACGACGACGACGGTGGCTTCGATGTCGATGAAGACGACGATGACGGCCACGACGACGGCGACAACGACGACGACGACGGCGACGACGACGACCACCGCGGCGGTGACGACGACGACGTGAAGGACGACGACGACGGCGACGACGACGGCGACGACGACGACGACGACGGTTGTGACGACGACGGCGACGACGACGGTGACGATGACGGCGATGAACACGGTGACGACGACGTCGATGACGACAGTGGCGGCGACGACAATGACGACGATGAGCACGACGTCGACGATGACGGCGATGACGTCAACGACGACGACGACGACGGCGACGGCGACGGCGACGGCGACGGCGACGACGACGACGACGACGACGACGACGACGACGGCAACGACGACGACGACGATGGCGACGTGCACGACGGCGACGACGGCGGCGACGACGACGATGAAAACGACTAGGTCTTCGTCGTTCTCGACGTCGCCGTCGTCATCTTCGTCACCCTCGCCGCGTCGTCCTCGTCGTCGTCGTCGTCGTCGTCGTCGTCGCCACAATCGGCGGCGGCGACGACCACGACCACGACGACGACGACGGCGACGACGACAACGACGACGACGGTAATGACGACGACGGCGACGACGTTGAGGACGTCGAAGACGGCGACGACGACGACAACGGCAACGACGGCGACGACGGCGACGACGGGAGGTACGCGACGCAACCCGAAGAGTATTTATGTTTGAGGCCCGGGCCCGTCAATTTTCCGACACTCAGGGCCGACGACGACGAAGACGGGGAGAACGACAACGACAACGACGGCGACGAGGACGACGACGACGACGACGGCAACGACGACGATGACGACGACGACGACGACGACGATGACGACGACGACGGCATCGACGACGAAAACGACGGCGGCGTCGACGGCGACGAGCACGACGACGACGGCGACGACGACTACGACGAAGACGACGACGACCACCGCGTCGGTGACGACGACGGCGACGAGGACGACGGCACCGACGACGAACACGACGACGGCGACGGCGACGACGACTACGACGGCGACGGCGACGTCGACGACCTCGACGACGGCAACGACGACGATGGCGATAACGGTGACGACGCCGACGAGGACGGCGACGACGACGACGACGGCGGCGACGACGACGGTGACGTCGACCACGACGACTTCGAGCATGACGACGACGACTACGACGACGACGACGGCGACGACGGCTTCGAGGACGACGACGACGAAAACGACGGCGACGACGTCGACGACGGCGGCGGCCACTGCGAACACGACGATTTCGAGCATGACGACGAAGACGACATTGACGACGACGGCGACTACGACGACGACATCGTCCTGGTCATTGTCGCCTCGTCGCCGCCGTCGGCGCTGTCAGCCGCCGCCGCCGCCGCCGCCGCCGCCGGGGGGTGGGGGGTGGTCAAACCCCCCCTTCCCTCGCGCGGGGGGGGGGGGAGCGGGGGGTCGGTGAAGGGGGGGGTTCTGATCGACGGCGCCGAATGTTCGGGGGGGTGCCCCCCCCCAGTTCCAACGCGATGCCGAATGAGGTATGAGGGGGGCGGAACGAAGAGGGCGGAAGGGGGAACGAGCATAAAGGAGGAGAAGGACCAGAGTAAACCAGTAGTAAGCCCAAGATGTATCAACGGTGCTGCAAGTGATCGTTTTTTATTTATTGTTTTGCCGACTGGCGCGGGCCCTCGCATCCCCCCCCCATGGAGTAGATTTTGGCTGTTTTTAGCATCTGTTTCAAGCAGGTGCAGTCTCCCCCATAATGGACGCACTGTTGCAAACAGTCGCGCTAAGCAGAGGTCCAGAGCCTGACCCCCCCCCGCCCCCCCCCGTGTCCGCCCAATGTGGAAACGCCGAACACGAAAACGTTGATCAGCACAATTTCCGTCCCGAGCTCCCCCTCAGCATTCCCCACAAGTCGTCCCCTTGCAAGACCAGCGCCCTCTGGGCCCTTGCAAGACCAGCGCCCGCTGGGCCCTTGCAAGACCAGCGCCCTCTGGGACGAACACGTTGATCAGCACAACTTCCGTCCCGAGCTCCCCCGTCAGCATTCCCCACAAGTTTCTTCCTTCCCACCGCAGAAGTCGTCCCACTGCAGAAGTCGTCCCCTTGCAGAAGTCTGTCCCGAGCTCCCCCCTCCGCATTCTCCACAAGTCTTCCTTCCTTCCCACCGCAGAGACGTCGTCCCCCCTGGCAAGGCCAGGCGCCCCCTGGGCCTGCCATTTCGAGGCGGCGCCCCGTTTTGAAAGAAAGGAACCTGCCCGGTATGTCTCTCCTTCGGGCAGTGCGGGGCGCGAGGCGGTAGGTATGATCGCAACGGTCAAAGAGGTGTCCAGCACGACGCTCGCTTTCAGGCTGGACTGCCCCCATTCGTGTTTTTTTTCCCCACATGCTTCGTGGGGTTCTGGTTTTCTTCCCTGCCGCGCCGCACCCGCGACACACACCTCACTCTTCGTACAGCACAGCTCAGCACAGCACAGCACATCACAGCACAGCACAGCACAGCTCAGCACAGCACACAGCTCAGCTCAGCTCAGCACACAGCACAGCTC